TTCTAACAATCCGGCTGAGGAATCTGTGCGTAATGTTCTTTTTCTTTTGCGGCCACGCGACACCCACCCCAAAATCTCAAGCGACGCAGGTTTTCCCCCGTTTAGAAAGTTTTCTTTTTTTGCCGAACGAGTTTTTGATTGTGCATAAATTTTTAACCATTTTCGTGCTTTCAAAGAAAAGAAATTGAGCCGGTTCAATTCCGTGGAAAGTATCGATTTACAAAGGAAGAGAATTTGTGGAATTTCCTTTTCATTCCGTGTGTTCCACTTTTATTTTTCAAAAATGGTTTGCTCCTAGATGTCGCTAAACACCGCAAATACGCCCGACGGCGGCGGTGTCTTGATTTTCAACGGGGAGGCCATTCTTCTCTTCGTTCGCGATGTCACAATGCAATTCAAGAAAAATACTAATCAGGTACAATTGGCCCATAATTGCGAGAATTTCCTTTTTGCAGCACGTCAGCGGCAAGAAGGTCGGCCTGCTGTATCTCTCCTCGCATCGCATCATCTTCATGCCAAATGACAAGGTATTCAGTTTTTCTTCGGCCCTTGTATACTGCAACAGCAAAAATATTGCTGCCGTTTCCAGCGCGACGAGATGAAGTCGTTCGAGATGCCATTCGGTTGCATGGATGATGTGCATCTGCAGCAGCCGATCTTTGGTGCGTTTTCTTGATCTGCTTGAAAGGGCTGCGTTTCCAGGCGCCAACTATCTGCAGGGCCGCGTCCGAGGGATGCCCGGCTCGAATATACATGGAGAAATCGAATGGTATCTGACATTTTCAAAGGTATATCTACTTTTTATGGCTCTAGCTCGTTTTTAGGGCGGTTGCATCGAGTTTGGAATGGCGTTGCTCAAGGCTGTGGATATGGCAGCACGGTATTCTTTGTATTCGGATGTGAATATGATAATGTTGCAGGCTTCGGCCAGAGAATGCCCCTCCACCTTACGCGCCGCCAACCGGAAACTACTACGCGGCCCCACCGGACTATTTCGAGCCCGACGGAGACGAGGCGACACCATTTTTGGTGAGGAATTGGTGCTTCCCACTTAGCGGCGGGGGGTGATTTTTCCACGTCAATCTCGGACGGCTAAGGACCTAAACGATGTTCCTCGGAGTTTACACTGTTTCTAGTTATAAAAAAGCTCAACAATCCGAAAAATTTGACGGTTGTTCAAAAATACATGAAAATTAGTTAAAAAAGCTTAACAAGGTTGAAATTTTGAAACTTTTTTATTTCCTGAATTGAATTTAAAATTGAATTGAAGATTTGAAGATTTCCTGCGATACAGATTCACCAAAATCCTCAAGCGTTTCTGGAATTACATATCATATATCCCCCGAAGCCCTCCCCTCGATCACGACAAGCGCCGGATATTCTAATTTTTTTTCTAGGGAACACGCCAGACACATTCGGACCGTCCTGACAATGTCTTCATGCAAGAAGCCCCGCCTCCCTACCCGGGCATGGGTGCTGAACGGCAACCGGTAGCCACCGAGGAGTTGGTGCCGGCCGGCGCTTCGATGGCCCCACCCCCATATGAACAAAACGGCAACGAGCTGCGACAACGACGGAACTAACAACCTTTTCGCATGTGTCGTTTGACTGTACATAACAATGTGTCCAACTGTATACACCTTTTCTTGCCTGGTGCATAATTGCGATAAAGTTTGTTGATTGGTGAGCCGGTAGAATTATCAAAGACCGTCTCGACGGCTGTTATATTGGATTGGTTCCGCGATCTATCTATTTTTGTCTATACATTTCTATCCATATCGAAGGGCGCTAAAATCTTGCTCGATCGGCGGTACCTGATGGTCTATGAACAGTTCTCTTTGCTAGTGTTGCATCGAATTTCCCTCTTTTAGACTAAAACTTGATTTTAGGCGAGAACTTAACTCTAGACTGCAGAGTACAAAAAGGGGCTAAATTTCACTTTACGGTATGTTTTCAAAATGTCATTTTTTCGTCTGGAATCGATGTATCCCGACGAGTTCGTGTGTTTTCAGTTGAAAAAACGATTGGGAAACGCTTCTGGACAAAGTTATTAGCTTTTGATAATTACTATGAAAACTGACCAAAACATTGGCCTTTTTGAAGGGGCTTGCTAGCTGAATACCCAATTTTAGCCTAAAATTAAGGCTTCGTGCCACCCGGGGCCTAATCGCTTCGGATGGGTGCGAGCTCGTACAGGGTTTCGAAATCGGGGCGCCCGAGGAGCGCGCAGCGCCCAGGCGCCCCGATTTCGGAAGAGTGGAGCGGCAGCCCATCCGAAGCGATGGCCCGCCTTGCCTGACAATTTTGGAAGCCACAACTAACTGTTATTTATCTATTCTATGCTTAAAATACTATTTTTAAAAATTATAAATGCTTTTAGATAAGTACGTAAGCGCTGGCAGAGAGCGCACGCGTTAGAAAGCGGGGACAGGAGTGTTGCGTAGCCTACAGTCCTTTGCAAAAATATCTTTGAAACGTCATAACTTTCTTATTTTAATTTCCCAATTGTTTTTCAACTGAAAACGCTTTTCTCATCGAGCTTTTCGTTTCCTGTTCAAAATTGGGTTTTGTCACATACCGTAAAGTGAACTTGCGATTTTCAAAGCCTATACTTTGTCCAGAATGTTTCCATCGTTTTTCAACTGGAAACGCACAAACTCATCGAGCTGCACCGATTCCAGTTGAAAAATTTACATTTTGGGACCATACCGTAAAGTGAAATTTTCCCCAAAAAGGCGCGGAAAACGTTTCCGGAGTCGAATTTTTGTAATTTAGATGTATGGTTTGTATTTTAAACTGGGCTATTGTAGTCTAGGAATATGTCGAACCTGGACAACCCGAGACTTCTTTTGAGGAGACTTCATTCAGACCGATTGAACAAGGTTTTTAGCGTCCCTCCGGGACCACCCAAATTCAATAGGTCATGTCTTTTGGTGCGAGAATGAAGGTCACAATGATGAGTGACATCACTAAATGCTGTTTTAACCCTTGTCAGCCCTTGTGCAATTTTTGACCGTTCTTTTATCCCTTGCCAAACCTTGATTCAAGTTCTCTTTTCAGGTAATCTCGAATAATGGCGTCTTCTCTGACCGTCAAGGTGCACCCGGTCGTCTATCTGACGATCGTCGATGCGTACGAACGTCGTTCTCGCCCGATCAAGGCCAATCAAGCCAACGACAAGGCCCTCGGGACACTGATGGGTTTCTACGAGAAAGGGGCCGTCCAGGTATGCAAAGGATTCCTTTTTGATCTGTATTGTTTAGGTCACAAATTGCTTCGCGATCCCGTTCAATGAGAACCGCGATCAGCCCGAGCTCGACGATTCCTTCAACCAAAGCATGATCCACATGCTGAAACGTAGTACCCCCACCGAGCAACCTGTTGGATGGTCAGTTTATCAACGTTTGGCCGAAAATTCCACCATTTAGGTTCTACACCTCACCGGACCTTTCTCCTGCGTGCCTGCCCTATCATGACTATTATTCAAGGGTTGTTTATGAGGTAAATTTCAATATCTCTTTGTAAATTGGCATTTTAGGCCTTTGGCCCTCGGCGGGAGACCCCGTTGGTGATTTTGCTGACCCTGGACACAACTTTCAGCTCCGTGGAGGACAAGGAGCGAATGCCCGTGCGGGCCTATTTCCGGTAAGGAAGTTTACCTTTATGAAAATCATGCTTTTTAGCTCGAAGGCCGGAATCTCCGGAAATCCCGAGCCCCATTGTGCCATCTTCAACCCGCTCCGGGTCGAGATGGATGCCTTCCCCGGCGAATGCGTTGCCTTAAATCTGATTCAGGTAAGGTCGAAAAATCGTTTTCATTTTACTGCACTGCAGTTTTTCGCGTCAAAAGTGTATTTTTGTTTTTTTAGGGTAGCGTCGAGGACAAACAGCGTGAGGTGAACCTCGACAATGGACTTTCCCAGTTGGAGAAGAGCACTGGACAGATTGTGGAATGGCTCGAGCGTGTCTTGCAGTAAGTGCTTGGTGTGCCAAAATCATACCGGAGGAATCTCGAATAGATAAGGTTCTTATCCTTTTTCGAAAGCCCTGGGAAAAGCGAAAAAGCGATCAAGCTTCGTTTTCTTGAATTGTTTAGCGTCTTCTTGATATTCTCTGTTGCGGGTGATCTGGGCTTAAACGCGCGTTTTTTGTGCGTCAAAATCGCAGCTAACCTGCGTCTGTGGCAGGAATCAGCTCTTTTCGCATTTTATTCATCACAAAATCCACCATTAAACTACTTATCAATCAGCGAAAAGCGCTTGTTTTCTCGGCTGGATCCGTATTACGTAAAAATCGACATTGGCTTCGCACCTTTACTGGGTGCTTTTCTGGGAAATCCATTATTTATGCGTTAATTATCGATCTTTTTTTCAGATATGTTGACGAGGTGTTGGCTCGAGACGAATTGCCCGCCGACGCGACTCTTGGACGGAAGCTGATGGATATTGTCCAGACGGTATTTAATTAATTGATTTGCAATAATATTCTTTTTTTAGGCTGCCACCCATCTGCAACAAGACAAACTGGACGCCCTTGTGAAGAACAGTCTTCGGGTACGTCCTATTGGCGGTTCATCATTTTCCGTTTTAGGACTACATGATGATTTCGTACCTGGCCAATCTGACGAAGACTCAACTCTCGCTCCACGAGCGCATGGTTTCGCTGTGATCGACGTCGTCATCATAAACACCGTACTTCATCTTGCTGTTACTCTCCATTTATCCCGCCAATACCGTTCTTGATTTATTTTCCATCGTATAGGGCTGAGATGGCCAACTTTCTGTCTTTAGACATTCAAACCCGGAAAATTGTCTCCGGAACTTGTTATGTGTTTCACCATTTGGGATGAATAAATTGTTGCGCAATAAATGGTGTCCCGATTTGGCAGATGGGTGTTGTGGCGTGACCTTGGTTAGCTTTGGCGGTTCTTTACGAGAGTGGTGCTGTCTTGTGGGTATTCGAATGATCCTCGACAATCCGTGAGTAATAGATGCGCTGAAATGAATGCCGAACAACGACGCGATCGCCGCCTGTATCCGACGATCAAAGCCCGCGTCGCGCAGGCTTTTTATGAACATGGCAGGTAAATAATGCACGCGATGGATTTGAGGAAATGTGTCATGGGCATGAATATCTCACAATCAAAAGTCTTGAAAATCATCAAAAGTGAGAAAAGCCTCGATTTAACTCGTAATTTCGAAACCAAAAGGATTCCAGGAAGGAAACGTGCGTTCTTCATTTTTCCAAGGATTATAGAGCTGAAATCCCTCAAAATCCCTATGATACCTTAAAATAAACATAAATTCGGCGATGATTTTTTGTTTTTACAAGAGTTTTTTGCTTGAAAATTGGCTTGCGCGTAGTTTTTTTGGGGGCCTGGATCGCTGGGCGGATAGAAAACGGTAAAATCGTCAAAAATGGTTGTTTAGCGGCTACCAAGACAAAGTTGCAGATTCTGCGCGGCCCATCCAATTCTATGCCTTTCGATGACGATCTGCTTCTTCGTGCTTCTCGCATTGCCGACAGTTTCCCGATTCCGACTGCCCATCTCCTCCCCGATGGATGTCCACTGGAGCACCGGCATTCCGGAGCCAAACAGTAGGTTAAAAAGCAACAACCCGTAGAAACCGCAATTCAGCCGGTCCGGAATGGCTGCAACTATCGCCGGCCGCATACCTCCAACAGATCGTCATTCGATCGGGGGTCGAGCCCTGGCATGCGGCCAATTTAAGCGTTGAGCAATCGATTCGAGGACCCCTTTCACGGGCATTTATCGCCATGGAGAAGCTGAGGATGGTGCCTGAATTGAGCGCCATCTGCCTGCAAATACAAAACAACGGAGAGCTGGGCATTCCGCGCAGGGGGTGCCTCCTGACGTCGCCAAGTCTCTTCTGGCATGATGATGTGGAGAGGATGAGAGAGGTTTGGCAGAAGTATCGTTTTCAACTAGACGTGGTTTAGGACGAAAATGTCGTGTCGACGGTGTACGCGGCAAATTGTTCGCCCGAGCTGTGTGTGCGTGATCTGTTGCTGGGAATGCCGGCTGGGATGTCGGGAGTCAAGCAGCGCTTTCAAACAAACAGGAAAAGAAGTGAGAATCGTCAAAGTTTTAAAGGCTCAAAATAGTTTTTTATTTCTGAGAAAAATCGCCGCGGGTTTTTTGGGTACTCGCCGGGACCCCAAATCCCCTTTTTCTTTTTTTTTCGGCCCAAATCTAGGTTTTTTGAGATAAATAGCGGATACGTTTTTTGTTTTATTTTAGCTATCCCTAAGCGTAAAAAATTCATAAATCAAACGTCGGTTAGGTTAACAAATTTAGTTTTAGGCCGCAAAATCTATTTGTAGCACTCAAAATTACGAAATTTTCCCTTTCTTCTCAGTTTTTGAAAAGTTTCGCCGCATCAAATATAGCTAATTTTGGCCAAAAAAGACTATATATACAGGCTAGACGATTATGGAGCCATAGAAAAAAGTTTTGTCTCCTCCCCCCCCCCGCAAATCCACAAGAACCGAGCGAGGGTAAGGAACCGGAATCTTATATTTTATCCTTTTTTTTAAAGCTTTTGAGAGCCTTCTAAGCTGAGAAATAGTAGAATCTTCGATATTTGCACTACAACTAACCAAATCTGCAGGAAAAATCAATATAATTGTTTTTCAGCAATCTACTTTACCCATTTTTGGAAAAAGTCAATTTTTTTAGCAATCGATTTTGCGGTCACCCTGTTCCTGCATCAATATGACGAACACACCATTCAGGTAGAAAACAATCCACTTTTCTACTATAAATGCCTACAGAAAATGGCTTCATCGCTGGAAACGGCTTTCAGCCGAGTGGAAAGCGAGGCCCAGGATGACACGACATTTGTCCACGTCTTCTATCGCCCTCGAAAATACTTTACCGACTATTTTCCTCTCATCTTATCCTACACAATTTTTGGGGTAAGTTTGTCAAAATCGAAGAAAATCCGTTTTTAGGCCTATCTTTACTATTCGGCGTCAAAATTCGAGATGGTGTCATCAAGGGCGGGGTTGGCGTTGGCTGCTGCCTTTACCATTGCCGCAACTCTGATGATTACAGCCGGTAAAGGGATTTTAATGGCTATTTTGCAGATTTTAAAAGTATACGTCCATCTGGTTTAACGTTATTTAAGTATTGTTTTAGCTAAAAGTAAAAAAAATGGATATTTCAGGTGTCTCGGCGTATCTGGACTTGCAACCGTCATTATGGGGAGCCGATTTGTTCCCGTATCTCGCGCTGATCGTCAGCTTAGAAAATGTGCTCTGCATTACCAAGTAGGGTATTCATTATTGTTAATGTTTTTTTTTTTAGAGCCGTGGTCTACACACCGCCATCGCTTGATGTGGCGTCGAGGATCGCGCATGGGCTTTCCCACGAGGGGTACACGATTGCAAAGTAAGCGTAACATTTGCTGTCATTCTTTTCGGAGTCCTGGTTCTACATAGATAATATTTTGCACGGTACTCATAGAATAACGGGGGGGAGGAGGAAACAAAGTTTTTCTATAATAACAATAGTTTTAAATATGGTTTTTCGGGCTATAAAAAAGGCTGTTAGTATATTTTTCGGCCCTCCATCGTATCGCATTTTCAAATAACGAAAATATTCAAAACGTCAAAAATTTTAATAATTAATTTTTAATAAGTTTTAATGTTATAAAGCTTTTACATTACATTTTTTGTGCTGAAAAAATTTATTTTAGTGTATTTTTGACGTTCTATCGATTGGCCATTTGAAAATATCGAAAATCTCCAAAATTTGGCTTCCTCCCCCCGTGTTGTTGGCTATAGTTTTCAACCATTTCTTCTTTATTCAATAAAAAATTCCCCTACATTTTTTGGGGCTGAAATTAATTCTCTTATTATATTTTTCGACGCTCTATCGAATGGTACTCCGCGAAATCACACAATATTTTAAAATATTAGAACTAAGGATCCCCCTTTATCCCCCCGTTACCCTAGGTGTGCCTTTTGAACATATTATCCAGGTATTTCCTCTTGGAGCTAATCTTCCTCTCTGCCGGCTTCATCACCGGCGTCGTCGAGATCCAGCAGTTCTGCCAGTTTGCCTTTGTCGGCTTGGTGACTGACTTTTTCATGCAGGTATCTTTTTCTTTTCTTATTTTCTATGTTTGGCAAGTTACGCGCTTGTTTCAAACCGACTATTACGATTTTGGGCAAGGGCAGGCCTCTAATCCGTTTGACATTTTAGCTGTTTTTCTACATCCCATGCCTTGTCCTCGATCTGCATCGGCTCAGCGATGACGAGAAGAAGCGTTTCTCCCTCCTTTTGCTAACCATCAAAGTGCCACCATTGGGCACTTTTCCAACCGTCAAGTACGTGTTATGGCTTTTCGGTTCTTTGGCAATATCGGGGGGGGGGGGACCAGCTTTCCTTAGCATCCAAATTTCGAATACAAATATGGTATCTGTCTCTAAATGTTTTTTTACTATTCCGAATCTTCAAAACTGACAAATTTTTGTTAAAAACTACAAAAAACTATAGATTTTTTAACCAAAATGTTGACTAAAAACCTTATAGATTTGTTAAGTTGATTTTTCCGCTTGGAATATAGCAAAATTTAGAAAAACACTATTGGAACCCTACTATTAAGCTATGAGGTTCGCCCCGATATTGCGAAAGCTCCGTTTTTGTTGTTTAGTTGGTTTTGATATCTACAATTTAATTATTATCGTAAAGGGTGTATATTTTTATCGATACGTATTGCAGTTGCCCGGTGAAGCGGCTATGGCCAAGCTTATTCGAAAAGGCGCGGAAGAAGCGGTTGACACGAGCCCTCTCCGAATCGCGTCTCAACGGCCTTTGGGCGGTCGATCACGGCAATTCGGTCACGAAGAAAGGTCTACCAAGTGACAGTCCAACAATAAAGCGATATCGAACATATTTTAGGCCATCGCCGGTCTGCCTCGACAGCAAAACAGCCAGATTTCGACGACAACGACAAGCCGTTGATGGGTCGGATGGTTTCGGCACGGCGACTCGGCTTCATGTCGTTCATTTCGCGGACCCGGCTTTTCCAGCGAACGCTAATGGTTAGTCGAGTCAGTTTTTGCTGGACTTGAGGGTTGTCTAGGTGCTATTCGCGTTGTGGGTCATTTGGCTTGGCTTTATCGTGCAGCGGCGATTACCCGATGATGCCGCCGGTCAGTTTTTATCCCGAGATTGGATTTATGGCAGTTTTTAACCTTTTTCGACGAGGTTGGGCATGTTTTATGTATTTTCCACATTGTCAGATGCGAGCCGTTTCGGGGTCTCACAGCGACTGCTCGAGACGGCGCCCCAGCAGTGGGGCGAATGGCAACGTCGCACATTCAAGGTACGGTAAGGGGTTAATTGTTACTTGTAGTAGGTTACCTGCATATTTTCTTAATTATGTAGGCATTTTGCTGCCCTTAGCAAAATATAGAAGCAGTTCTCTTAGCGGGGGAGCTTTCTAGCCCATAAACCTTGTAGAATTTTTGGCAATTGATAGTGTATTTTTTATCAACTAATATGCCACAAAAAAACTTTTAGAAAATGATTAAAAATGTCAAATTTTTGGCCTTTTTTTGGTAATATTTCATAGATTTTGGATGTGTGTCTTTCCTTATTCGGACCCTACGAATCGATAAGCAAAAGTTCGCCCCCCCCCGCTAACAGAAAAGAGCAAAACGACGAATTTAGTGGTGGCCGGCCCTATTCGCCGAGTACAACATGACCCTCAGCGGTCACTACATCACGTATCTACCGCCAATTGTGCTGAAGACTATGGTAGACGACGGTAGACAGCTAGAAACAACACTTTAAGATTGCGCCCGATGATCCGATGCTGTTCGCGGTCCCGCCACGGCCGACCATAGCAGATACGGCAGGCGGAAGAGGCGGAGAACAGGCCGAAGATCCGCCTAAAGAATTACGGTATGGATTGAAGGGGGCTCGGGTTTTAATGGATGCCTAGATCTCGAATCGAATGGCTCGAGCGTCAACTTCGCGTGTATATGGCCATTTGTGCACTGTGCGTGTTGACGATTGTCATTTTGTTCCTGTCGTACGCCTGCTTTTGGGGTCAATGGAGGAATGGATGGCGCGGAATTGAGGGACCACAGGTATGTGAGGTATCTCTCTCTCTCTTTCTCCCCCGGGCCCCCGCCCCTTCTCCTGCCTCTCTCTCGCTCTCTGGATCTCCTTAGCTCTCTCTCTCTCTCTCTCTCTCTCTCTCTCTCTCATTCTCTCTCTTTCTCTCTCTCTCTCTCTCTCTCTCTCTCTCTCTTTTTTTCTCTCCTGTCCCTCTCTATCTCTTCCTGCCTCTCTCTCTCTCTCTCTCTCTCTCTCTCTCTCTCTCGCTCTCCCTCCCTCTCCCTTTCTCGCACTCTCTAACCTCTCCCTTTCAGCCCGATCTCTCCCCATCACCGACGTCTCGTCCGAAAAGCGGCCTCATCGAATTGGTGCGCAAGTCTTTTTTTTTTTCATAACGGCTTCTTGAGGGCTATACAAAACTGAAAGACCACCGTTTCCCCATCGAATTCGTGAAGGCGGGCGGACCGGGCCAATCGCTGTTGTGTACCGTATGCCAGGGCGGAAGGGTCATTCTCTGGGACGAGAAATTGGGTTCGTTTTCTAGCGATTTCCACATTCAGACATTCAGACGAGAACCGCCGGGAAATGGCCCGCAACCGGTTTGATCCGCTTGGAAAAGAAACCACAGATGATGCACGACGACGTGGCGATTCTATCAACGGAACTCCGAGGGCCCAGAACGGACACGAACTGCCGGCAGTTTGGACTGTGGATGCAAAGTAGGGGCATTTCACGTTACGATGCATCTCCCCCTTTAGCGAGAAAATTCTGGTGCTCGGCTGCGCTGACGGGTCACTGGAGATTGGCTCCTTTCAACGCGCCAAACTGCTCGCCGTGTATCTGGAGAACAAGTCGGGCATCGTGCAGATGAAGGTTGCGTGTTCTCTCCTTGTCTTCCCCCCCTCTCTCTCTCTCTCTCTCTCTCTCTCGTTCTAGCTCCCTCTCACCTTTCCTCTGGTTCTATCTCTCTATCTCTCGCTCTCTCACTCTCTTCACTCTCTTCATCTCCCTCGCTCTCGCTCGCTCTCTCTCACTCTCTCTCTCTCTCTCGCTCTCTCATCCGCTAGTCGCGATTTCAGATCCGCGGCTCTCTAATTGCCCTCGCCCGGCTCGATGGTTCCGTCGAAGTGTTGCGCGTCGATTTTTCGGAAGGCGAGGTGGGCTGAATATTCAAATATGTGACGCGTCGGTTTGTGATACTCCAGGAAAACCTAAAGCAGTTTAAAGGACTATTATTTCCAGCCACTCCGCATCCGTTCTGTTCGTCAACTCGGTCATTCCCCCGCCCATCAGTCCCCAATGACCGTGCTGGAGATGGGTGACGCGTTGTTCGCCACGGCTTCTCATGATCATTCCGGTCAGTGTGAAGGGTATTTACGCGTTACGCGAAGACAATAACCTGGCCTGGAACAATTTGTTTCAAGAACGATTGCCAAAAATGTTGGCGGAATTCTGTGGATTTTGCGTAGAAGCTTTTAAAGTTGATAAAAGATGATTAAAAAGTAAAAAGAGCGCTGATTTTAAGTGAAATTATGGGACAATCGCACGTGTCGTGGCCTGCAACATCTCCAATTCCACAAGGCTCCCGTCACGTCACTGCTGATCGACGAGTCAGAAGACGTGAGGAGACGAGTCTTTTATGCACGTCTAATGCTTGCTTTTAAGGTTATATTCTCGGCGTGTGAAGAGGGCGTGGTTTGTTGGTGGCGGATGACGACGGGCAAACTGATTCGCAGCACCGAGGATCCGTTTGGGTCAGTTTTGCCAAGCAGCATCGGGGAATTGAATAACGCAATTTAGAATGACTTTAACAGGGTGTCCCAAAAGAAATCAATTTTCCGAATTTTTTTGCTCAATTTTCGGCATTTTCAAGCAAAAAGAGCCCACTAGGTTGTCAAAAACGCCAGTAGGCCCTACCCAAGCTGTCTTTTCGCAAACGGCTTTCAAAAAGCTGTCGATGTAACCAGGAAAAATGTAAAAATCCTTAAATTGTCATTTTTATGCAAAACCATTGGTCTGGAAAACCTGAGAAAATCTGTCCGTTTCGCAAAATAAAAATAGTAAATGTTGGGAATGGGAAGGGCGTGCTGGGCTTGCTTTTCTAAGAGCTTTTGATAGATACCTAAATCGCAAAAATCGGACACACCTGCGGACATCTGTAAATTAAAGTAGTGTAAAGTAAAGGTATGGTTATAATTTAGAATAAATTCGATGTGGCGAGCCTCATAAAACAAATTTTTAGATACGCGGTGGAGTTGGCGGCGACCGGGGAGAATCTGCTGGGGTTGGGCGCTGATGGGCAATTGAGTGTATGGGATCGACCGAGTGGCCAGTTGATCACAAGGATGGGAACACACCCACCACAAGGGGTACGGTAGCTTGATTAGGTAGAGAGAGAGAACGAGACAGAGAGAGAGAGAGGGAGAGAGAGAGAGGGGGATAGGGAGAGACAGTAAGCGTGAAAAAGAGTGAGAAAGTTTGTGAGTATGTGTGAGAAAGAGGGTGAGGGAGAGAGTGAGAGAGTGAGAGAGAGGGAGTTAGAGAGAGCGAGCCTGATAGTGAGGGTTTGAGAGAAATTGAGAAACCCAAAGAGAGAGAGAGAAGAAAGAGAGAGAAGAAAGAGAGAGAAGAAAGAGAGAGACAGAGAGAGAGAGAGAGAGAGAGAGAGAGAGAGAGAGAGAGTGAGAGCGAGAGGGAGCCACGACGTGTTATAGGGCGGATCACCGCTACTTGAGAAGCGCTTCATTGTGACGATAGAGACTGGTGTCGTCGTCACTGCCCAACATCGAACCATTTCATTTTGGGATCTTGGCTATAAGGCCCTCGTCAAAGAGGCACGTTTTTAAAATTTACATTAAAAGATTTTTATGGCTCTGGCTTTAATTCTTTATTTTTACTTTCAAGCCATCGGAATTTCATTATCTCGAAATTCACGGTGCTTTGGCATTAACGGGGTGGGGGGGGGGGGGGGAGGAACCAACATTTCTCCAATATAAATAGTCGACCGGTTTTAAGCGGTTTTTTACTATTCCGAAACCCGGAAAAATTGCAAGGTTTACTTAATAATACAGGACACCTTCAATTTTACGAGCGAAAATTGCCGATTTTCGACAAAAAATCGCACTATGGGATCGACTTTTGTCAAAGTTGATTAAAAAACTATTAAAATACTTACGGTTGCATCACTAGGCATTTTGGAGAATTAGGAAAAAATTCGGAATCCGGAAAAACGCCTAAATGCAAAAATAGCGACATTACGAAATTACGACATTTTGATTGCAAATATTTTTCGATGAATCAGATCTGATAGGCCGATTTCAGGTGGAAGTGGAGCAGCCCCTCGACGGGTTGGCCATCTGCTTGGGGCGCACGGTGTTCGCCCCATCGGGAAATATCATCTACCGTATCCCGGTGCCTGTCGTCCATCTCAAATAATTGACCCCCTCAGCGATATGTAATGTGATTCCCCTCGACTGTACACATTCCAAATGCTCATTCCTTAACGACGATTCGCACACACCAATTCGAAAATCACTGTTTCGAAAACACTATTTGGTAAGAGTTTACTTACCCCCCCCCCGCCCCACAGCCAAAGGGTCTCAGAGTTTTCGATATTTTGGCTCGTTTTGTCGGGACCTTCGATAGAGCGTCAAAAAAAAACATAAAATCGCTAGGGGGCAGTCGAAAGAAAATCGACTGCCCCCCCTAGCGGTCCAGAGAAGGCTCAGATCGTGATGATTTTTACAGCATTCGAAAGCTCTCGGAAAGGCGAGAAAACCAGCCATATTTTTTAGCCCGCGCTCGATATTGCACGATTTTTAAAAAAAGGCGTAAAATCAGCATCGTCCTGTTAGATTTAGCAAGCAATTAACATGCGGATTTTGCATAAAATCTGCAGTTTTCATGGGTTCGCTCTAAATTTAGTGAATAAAAATGCCTATATTGAAGAACGAAAAGGGCTTGTTTGGTCGCCTTTCCGAGAGCTTTCGATAGATATCTAAACCGTCGAAATCGGACACTTCTACGAGTCGCTAGAGTGGGGTCGATTTTTTGGGACATCCTGTAAAAGTTTTGATTTCAGCCTAAAATAATCTCAAAGAAAAAAGTTCTAACCAAAACCTTCTGGCTGGGGGGGGCGGAGTAAATAAAACGTAGCCCACTATTTCGAAAAGACACTATTTTACATGGATAGAAAACTCGCCATCTCGAAAAAACAACCGTTTTTAGCGGCCTTTGGTGGATATGGCTATTATTGATATTTTAATGGTATTTATAAGGACCGAGCATCGCCTTTATAAACGTTAGAATTTCCAGTGGAAAAAATCGACCTTCAACCTCAAAGCGAACAAAACCCAGATTTTTCGGCGACGGTGGAAAGGGCTATGGCGAAATATTGATTCCCAGTCACGATTTCGAAAATCACCATTTCGAAAATCACGATTTCGAAAAATCACGATTTCGAAAAACACGATTTCGAAAATCACCATTTCGAAAAAATACCATTTCGAAAGGACACCATTTCGAAAAACACCATTTCGAAAAAATCCCCAGTTCGAAAAGGCCCGGTCTTCAAACGGGTATAAAAATTGCAATGTCGAAAAACCACGATTTTTCTTCGATATGACTAGTGATGTAATAGAAATTGTTTTAGTGGTGTCTATAATGAAATTAATCATAACTCCAGTGGAAAAATGAACACCCTAACCTCAAACCAGCCAACGAAAATCATTTTTTTTTCTACGACTGGAAAATGGGCTATGGCTAAATCCTGTGTTTGCCAGATGCTGATTTTCGAAATGGTGATTTTTCGAAATGGTGATTTTCGAAATGGTGTTTTTCGAAACCGTGATTTTTCGAAATCGTGATTTTCGAAATGGTGATTTTCGAAATCGTGATTTTCGAAATCGTGATTTTTGAAATGGTGACTTTCGAAATGGTGTTTTTCGAAACCGTGATTTTTCGAAATCGTGATTTTCGAAATGGTGATTTTCGAAATCGTGATTTTCGAAATCGTGATTTTTGAAATGGTGACTTTCGAAATGGTGTTTTTCGAAACCGTGATTTTTCGAAATCGTGATTTTCGAAATGGTGATTTTCGAAATCGTGACCGCCAACCGAAATATTGTTTGTCGAAATGGTGATTTTCGAAATCGTGTACACCATCCCTCAACGAATCCCTACTTGCCATCACGCCAGCATCTGCTTCCCTTTCCTATGATTTTTTCCATCTCTTTTTTTGTTAAATCGTACAACGATCGTACAATTTTTGGCGTATCCCAAGCGAGATGGGTGCAGCACGTAATCAAGGCTTTTTACAGGGTGACTATTAAGTATTTGCGCTGTTTCAAGCGCGTTTTAGGGGGCTAATTCCTATTGTCGAAAGTTCCCGACCAATAACCCACTTTACGAGGGATATTGGGTCGGTGACATTCGATGGCATAATGCTATCCCCTGGGGCGCGGGTCCCGCCGCGACCGGGCCATCGTAGCGCATTGTCCCCGAGAGAGAGGGGGATTTATGGGCATCCGGGGCCTGTCCTTTGGAGTCGCCTTACCCCCAGATCCCTCGTTGTCGGTACTGTGAACGGGCATTCTTCCCATTCAGTACGTCCAGCTACCACTCGTAAGATCCCAGTAATGGGTTGAATGGCTAAGCGTGGATCAGACAGGCATTCCCAACAGCCAATACCTTTTCCCCGTCCACCTCCAGAGTTGTTTCCCTTTTCCCCGCCCTGCGCGGCGCCCTCTTCATTGTGTACCACCAGAGTTGTCTTTATTGTATGTATACATGGTAGATAAACCGTTTATCTCCTATTTGTCCTCTATAAGTGGTAATCGCATGGGATCTCATTCATGGTCTGTGGTCAGTCTTCTTGGCTTACATTAGTCTTACAGACCTCCGCTGATCCGACTACCCGTGTTAGGGGAAGTGTGAGGGTCGTAGGAGGAATAGGTGGCACATCCCTCGCGTGGGCATTATTGGGATTTATTCCTAATAGTGCGGGATTGCTATTCCTTTTCGACACCTATGCGGATGATAGAACAAGAAAATGCATTTTACAGGGAATTGTTTGCTCTATCAGGTGAAATGTGAAAACATGGAACCACTTTAGCACAAAATGTCAGTGGTGTAAAACATTTAAAATCGCGTTTTTTGTATAGATTTTTGGCCGCGGCCCTTTCTTGCGAAATTGCTAAACTAGCGTCCATCCGCTTCCCTTTTCTCACGCTTGCTCTAGCGTAGCAGAAAGTTCGTTGCGCAAAGCGATGCCCGCCCTTAATGCCCGAATCTGGGTTCGGGCAAGCAATTCGCTGACTTAGGCTTAGGCTTAGGCTTAGGCTTAGGCTTAGGCTTAGGCTTAGGCTTAGGCTTAGGCTTAGGCTTAGGCTTAGGCTTAGGCTTAGGCTTAGGCTTAGGCTTAGGCTTAGGCTTAGGCTTAGCTTAGGCTTAGGCTTAGGCTTAGGCTTAGGCTTAGGCTTAGGCTTAGGCTTAGGCTTAGGCTTAGGCTTAGGCTTAGGCTTAGGCTTAGGCTTGGGCTTAGGCTTAGGCTTAGGCTTAGGCTTAGGCCTAGGCTTAGGCTTAGGCTTAGGCTTAGGCTTAGGCTTAGGCTTAGGCTTAGGCTTAGGCTTAGGCTTAGGCTTAGGCTTAGGCTTAGGCTTAGGCTTAGGCTTAGGCTTAGGCCAGGCTTGGGCTTAGGCTTAGGCTTAGGCTTAGGGCCTAGGCTTAGGCTTAGGCTTGGGCTTAGGCTTAGGCTTAGGCTTAGGCTAGGCTTAGGCTTAGGCCAGGCCAGGCTTAGGCTTAGGCTTAGGCTTAGGCTTAGGCTTAGGCTTAGGCTTAGGCTTAGGCTTAGGCTTAGGGCTTAGGCTTGAGCTTAGGCCTAGGCTTAGGCTTAGCTTAGGCTTAGGCTTAGGCTTAGGCTTAGGCTTAGGGCCTAGGCTTAGGCTTAGGCTTGGGCTTAGGCTTAGGCTTAGGCTTAGGCTTAGGCTTAGGCTTAGGCTTAGGCTTAGGCCAGGCTTAGGCTTGAGGCTTAGGCTTAGGCTTAGGCTTGGGGCTTAGGCTTAGGCTTAGGCTTAGGCTTAGGCTTAGGCTTAGGCTTAGGCTTGGGCTTAGGCCAGGCTTAGGCTTAGGCTTAGGCTTAGGCCAGGCTTAGGCTTAGGCTTAGGCTTAGAGCTTAGGCTTAGGCTTAGGCTTAGGCTTAGGCTTAGGCTTAGGCTTAGGCTTAGGCTTAGGCTTAGGCTTAGGCCAGGCTTGCAGGCTTAGGCCTGGGCTTAGGCTTAGGCTTAGGCTTAGGCTTAGGCTTAGGCTTAGGCTTAGGCTTAGGCTTAGGCTTAGGCTTAGGCTTAGGCTTGGGGCTTAGGCTTAGGCTTAGGCTTAGGCTTAGGCTTAGGCTTAGGCTTAGGCTTGGGCCTAGGCTTAGGCTTAGGCTTGGAGCTTAGGCTTGGGCTTAGGCTTAGGCTTAGGCTTAGGCTTGGGCTTAGGCTTAGGCTTAGGCTTAGGCTTAGGCTTAGGCTTAGGCTTAGGCTTAGGCTTAGGCTTGGGCTTAGGCTTAGGCTTAGGCTTAGGCTTAGGCTTAGGCTTAGGCTTAGGCTTAGGCTTAGGCTTAGGCTTAGGCTTAGGCTTAGGCCAGGCTTAGGCTTAGGCTTAGGCTTAGGCTTAGGCTTAGGCTTAGGCTTAGGCTTAGGCTTAGGCTTAGGCTTAGGCTTAGGCTTAGGCCAGGCTTAGGCTTAGGCTTAGGCTTAGGCTTAGGCTTAGGCTTAGGCTTAGGCTTAGGCTTAGGCTTAGGCTTAGGCTTAGGCTTGGGGCTTAGGCTTAGGCTTAGGCTTAGGCTTAGGCTTAGGCTTAGGCTTAGGCTTGGGCTTAGGCCAGGCTTAGGCTTAGGCTTAGGCTTAGGCTTAGGCTTAGGCTTAGGCTTAGGCTTAGGCTTAGGCCTAGGCTTAGGGCTTAGGCTTAGGCTTAGGCCTAGGCTTAGGCTTAGGCTTAGGCTTAGGCTTAGGCTTAGGCTTAGGCTTAGGCTTAGGCTTAGGCTTAGGCTTAGGCCTAGGCTTAGGCTTAGGCTTAGGCTTAGGCCTAGGCTTAGGCTTAGGCTTAGGCTTAGGCTTAGGCTTAGGCCTAGGCCTAGGCTTAGGCTTGGGGCTTAGGCTTAGGCTTAGGCTTAGGCTTAGGCTTAGGCTTAGGCTTAGGCTTAGGCTTAGGCTTAGGCTTAGGCTTAGGCTTAGGCTTAGGCTTAGGCTTAGGCTTAGGCTTAGGCCAGGCTTAGGCTTAGGCTTAGGCTTAGGCTTAGGCTTAGGCTTAGGCTTGGAGCTTAGGCTTAGGCTTAGGCTTAGGCTTAGCCAGGCTTGGGCTTAGGCTAGGCTTAGGCTTAGGCTTAGGCTTAGGCTTAGGCTTAGGCTTAGGCTTAGGCTTAGGCTTAGGCTTAGGCTTAGGCTTAGGCT